CGATATCGATAATCCAAAAAAACAAAGAACTAAACTCTTGAAGTGGGGCGAACAGATTATCATTGAGAGTCATCTCACAGTGTGCTTTCGAATGACAACGCTGCAGAAACATGTCCTATGTGCCTGGCGGCGACCTTTCCATACTTTCTACATTGCGAAAACGACTGTTCATGCGATTCACGACGTTTTCGTACAATTGAAACTACGAAAGCGAAGCCTCCCCATGGGACGACTTGTGCGCACATGTCGAAGTGCGAAATTGCAACCTTCCCATGTCACTTGCGACCTTTCGTGCTTTCCTAGTTGCGAAACCGTCTCTCCCCATGTGATTTGTGATGATTTTGCACAGTCGAACACACGACGGCGAACCTCCACATGTGATGCACGACGTTTTCTTATTTTACAAATTACAACGAAGCTGCAACGCTTGCTTGCGCTTGCCCAAAACTTAACAGAAACCTCCCTATGTATTTGCGAAGTTTGAAGGTTTGAAGTTGCGAAAACGAAACCTCCCCTTGCGTTTCCTACGTTTCAAGTTATGCAAACGAGACCTCCCCAATGTGATTTGGGAACCCCCCCCCCCCCCCCCCCCCGCGCAACGTTTTCGCAGATTTGTTGCTGCGCCCTTGGCCTTAAAGGTCTCCTTGGAATTGAGAAGAAGGCATGGATAGTGGAAATTGCAACTCCGCCGAAAGACCTTTTGCCACGCGTTCGGCAAAAAGTCAACAGAAAACATTACTTGCTCATAAGTTCAAAAAGGCAATTTGTTGACTTAGTTGACTTGCGCCTCAAATTTGCCCCAGCTCTCCGCACACCGAGGTCCCTGCTTTGACCTTGGATCTTCACCGTGTAGGGCTTCTTGACGGTAATGACCTGCGGACTTGAGATTCACAGCAAGGGGTCAACGTTCGGGCAAAGCCGTATAACCCCTTCAAACGTCATACCCCTTTTGACACGAAAGAAGATTTCTACTGTGGACTTCGAGGTGCCCCATGCCTTGGCCGGCTCCCTTACGGGATAGGGCACGTCCTGGTTGATCGTGACCTCGTGGCACGGGCGGCCAGTGCTGGACCTGGAGCTGACCTGGAGACCTCGTGGAGAGACTTCGCTTGGCCCGGAGCGGGCTTGACGATGGTGGGCCCGGGCACCGGCACGTGCACGTACTTTGGCGGGCTCGGGACGTGGTAGACTTGCTGGATGTTGTGGACGATCTGAGTGCTTCCGAAGATTCAACACAGCGCTTCGCGGCTAATCGCTGTCTACGGAACCCTTAGGAGGCCAGTCTAAGGAAAGAGGCCGGAGGAGGACGCGGCTCCTGGACCGGCACAGGCACGTGCATCTGCCTCGTAATGCGAACGTCACAAACCAGGCATAGCATGCAAATGCAAATGCGGGAGACGGCCGCAACTTGAAAACCTAAGTGAGATGATCGGCTTTCGCACGGCAGACTTGGCGGACGAGCTGCTCGATCTTGGTCACGTGGTGGTAGATGTTGCGGTCCACCACTTGATGCGGGCAGGACTCACAGGGCGGCACATGCTGCCAAGGTGTGTCTGTGTGAATGCACAAAGCACAGGGCATCAATACAGGTGCTGTCTTGAACGAGTCTGGAGTCCTCCCGGTACTTGTAGCAGCACCACCTCTTGTGCCGGCCGGACCAGGTCTGGGTGGCGAAGTCGCCGCCGTCAGCGCAGTCGAAGTGCGCGTTCGGCTTCTTGGTGACGGGAGGGGGACAACACGCCCCCACAGGAGGATCTACTTGACTGCACATCTCACGGCACCAGATGCATCGGGCGTTGGGCTCGACAAGGTCTGAGCTCACTGCAACCACGTGGACGGTGTGGATAATGGGTGCAGGCCGCGGCATCTGCACCTTGACCTGGCAAATCTGAGATGGCCGAAGCCCGCGCATGACAACGGTGCGCAGCAACACACGGCTGTTCGAGGGACTGATTTGTCCTTGCTTGCTTGCTGCATGCTCTTTTGGCAGGCTTGAGAGAACTCTTTCGCAGCCAGGAGGCGTAGTGATTCACAGGCACCTTCCTCACAGGGCAGATTCACACTCGACTGGACTGCATAGTACAGTATGCACAGTGTGGCTACAAGGCCATGGGGCATGTCACATGCGACAGTAACCACGCATTTAAATTCTTCAACTCTGTAGACACCTTCTCATCAACTTCTCTTGATTCTATTCGCTGTCACCCGGGAGGCTGTTAAAAGAAGCACTCTCCATATTCGTTGCATCGAAAAGCTAGCCTAGCCCGAAAGCCACACACCAAAACCACACACCATCACCGGCCACTACACGGAATGTCAAGCCACCTCTAGACCCCGGTCCTGACCACCGTGTTGTAGTGGCGCCGGACCACCTCGTGGTATTTCGGGGCCTTTGCCAGGTGAGTTCGCTACCGCAAAAAAGTGGAACGCAATGCTTGAACGGCACAGCTACGACACTTTGAGAACCAGGGGCCTCGGTAGTAGTGACCGGATCGTAGCAAGGTATTTGTGGGCATACCCCGCAGCACTGGCTTCTGGCTTGCGCCTGGAGCTGTGCGAAGGGTGCATCGGCATTTTGCGGGGGCAAGGAAATACTTGCAGACAGCGCGTCGCGGCGCAGCTGCCTCCGCTAAGGTCGCAACAGTCACAACGTCCCTCAAGAATGGGCCGCCCAGGCATTGTTCTCGGCTTCGGCACTTGCATGCGCTTGCACTCGCCATGAAGAAGGGTGGACACAAGAGGAACCCTGGAAGCCTTCCTCTGCAAGCAATGAGGGACCAGGATGGTAACTCAGGGAGGCGGGAACAAAGCTGTGCGCTATGAGGTTATTGAGCCCTAGGCGCCCCTAGGAGCACAAACCTTGATATTAGAACAGGGCAAGAAGTCCCATACTGCGTGTCGCATACTTCTGGTGGCTGTGATGCGAGTCCCGACATCCATTCACGTCTTCTGCACGTCAAGGCCGGTGCTCCATGTGTGCTACCAAGACTCCGCAGGGATCATCCGCTTGAATGGAGCAGGTCTCCCCAGTGAAAATTGCGCGGACCTCCAGCGACTCCCACGCGCTGGTGCTCGCTGTGCGCAGATCCATGGCGCATCCATTCTTGCAAACCTGTATGGGACCCCGACCGAGCAGACCCAGGCAAGCGGGAAGAGTAGCACCAGCAGGCCTGTGTGGGGCGTAGAAGCTGGCCCCTATGCCCATCAGTGCCACGCCTGTTTGGCACTGTTTGGCCCCGAAGCTGAGCCACCGGCACCAGAACACGCAGCAGCAAACGCAGGCCGGCCGGCACCTGCTGTTTGTTTTTGCCGCGGCTGCGCTTCGGTCGCAGTATTCTTCTGGTGGTTGGCCTGTAGCCGTAGGTGGAGGTCGCCTCCTTCGAGTAGCTTCCCTGGCCTCAGCGCACGCATATGCTGGCACGACAGCCTTACTCGTGAATGCGGTGCCTGCGCCAACTTCAACAAGCTTCGTCTCGATATCGCCCATTCCTGACACGATGATTTGAGCCTGCTTTTCTCTGGGCACACCACCGTCTCTCGCACAAGAGGAGCTCAAGCTCGAGAGAGCAGCTCCAGCCCGAGCCTGCGCCCACGTACTTGATGCCCTCTTGGTGGCCGTCAGCGTAGCGCTCGTAGAACATGTCTCGGCAGTCCAAAGGCCGCACGCCGCACGCTTCACTCTGGTGTGAAGACATGGGAGAGCATGGGAGGCCACGGAACCACGGAACCACTTCGCACCGAGGGCGGCACTGAAGAGGAAGCCGCCTCCACCACCTGGCGTGCAGCGCACTGCCTCTATCCCCGATCTCTCTGCCTAGTGGCACCAGGGACACGGACGAAGACTGGAAGCGACGAGCCTCTGCAACTCTCAATTTTCAACCCGTATCTTTTGCAAGAGGCGTGGACGTGGACATACGTGGACTGAAATGAGAAACACAGATAGAAATATAGGATCAGTATAGGATCAGTTTTGGATCAGGGAGGCACTGCGACCTCCTCCGGCGGCGCCTCCGGCGCTGGAGCTCATTACGATACCCATGGCCAACGGTCGGCCACACGGCGACTAAAAATAAATGCTTCGCCAGCTTCAAGGCCACAGCTACGGAGGACACAGAGAGGAACTGAAATGCGAAAGTGGCCTCACGAAGAAACACCCTAGAAACACCTCATCACTGAGAAGCACACATAAGGTCGCAAAGGCACAAGCTCTCAAGAGATTGTCTCAGCACTTTTTCCCAGCACAAGAAGAGTGAAGGCAAGAGAAATGTGTTTGCCACAGACAAGCTTTGTTGAATGTGCAAAGCGTGGAATTATCAGGTCGGGTCCGAGACACCACGATACACCCCACGATGCACGAGGCGTACTCGAGATGTACTCGGGAAAAGAAGACCGTGGGGCGACCCTGAACACTCCTGAACATATACTACAATGTACTATCTGCGTACCCTTTTTTGGAAGCAACTCTTAGTTTCTGCAGGCACTTGAATCATCCTTCTATGACCATCTTCTCTCTGCGCGATTCGTTACAGTGTCGCTGTTGAGTTCTCAAGTGTGCAAGCTCGGATGCTTGGCTCACAGTCAGCTCGTTCCCGCCTCGACCTCGGGTCAATGCGATTCAATGCGTGAACGGACTCACCTTACTGCCCGTACAGGAGGGCATACAGGATCATACAGGGGTGCAAGAACACCTGGTGACCTCGAAGTAAAGTGGCCACTACCTTCGTCCCGCCCCTTGTCGCTGAAATGCTGGGCCGTGAAAGCAAAACCCGACAGCTTCCATCGCTAATATGGCTTGGGCGGATGCACTTCATACTCCTGTTCTGTGAACTGGTGCTATAAGCTCAAGCTCCGGGCAGTCGAAGGCGTTGGCTCCTGCATGAGCACCGCATGTTGATCCTAGGTACGTTTCTCCGCTTATGGCGGTGCAATGTGGTGCACTTAAGAGGTCCTTTGGATGCTTTCCGTGCTTCGCATCGGAGAGCATGCGCAGGAGCTAGGAGCTAGGCATCATCGTCAGTGCTCATGTCACCGTGCCGATACTCGGGCGGCAGGGAGGAATCGTCGCCCCCGATGCTCATCTCAGACATGTCACCGTGCCGATACTCGGGCGGCAGGGAGGAATCGTCGCCCCCGATGCTCATGTCAGACATGTCACCATGCCGATACTCGGGCGGCAGGGAGGAATCGTCGCCCCCGATGCTCATGTCAGACATGTCACCGTGCCGGTACTCCGGTGGCAGGGAGGACTCGTCGCCCCCGATGACCATGTTGTGACCGTGCCCATGATCGGGCAGCAGCGTGTCAGGCTTGACACCGTCGCCCGAATCGGGCAGCGTGTCAGGCTTGACACCGTCCCCACCGTCCCCAGAATCGGGCAGCCAGGTGTCAGGCTTGACACCGTGACCTCCGTCCGGCATATCCAGGTCGTCGTCGCTGCTGGAGTAGTGATGCACGATGTGATGGATGACGTGCACATGGCTATGGCCATAGTCGCCATCGTCATAGTGGCCATGGATGTACTGGCCATGGCCCAGGTGCTGCGTCACTCCTGTCACGATCGTCTTCGTCAGCCCCTCCCCTTTCCAGGTGCCGGGGCAACCTTTCTCCTCGTGGGAGCAGCACCAGCTCTTCTTGGTCTTGGACCAGCCGAAATTCCAGTTCTTGAAGCCGGCGACGCAGTCGTAGTACTTCTTTTTGATCACATGCTGCACCTTGGTGATGGGAATCTCCTTGTAGATGGTCTGAGCGGGCATCGGAACGGGCACGTGGACGACCTTCCCCGGCACCTTCACTGGAACTGCCACAGGCTTGTAGCGGTACTTCGGTGGCGACGGCACGGGCTCAGGCACGTAGTGCTTCTTGGTGATGTAATGCTTCACCACGTGGGGCGGGCCAGCCGTCTTAATCTTGATGATCGGCCTGGGATCCTTGGGGAGCTTAGATCTATCAGCAAACACAAAGCATCCCAAGGACAACCCTGTGCGAGCGAGCCGCATGGACAGGAACCTTCACGATGTGGTTGATTTCGCGTGGCGGGGGGGCCGGCACGCTGACTTTCACTGGCACGGTCACGTGCTTGACATGGGTGATGGTCTTGTAGTGGTTCCTCGGTCACTACAAGATGGGCAGCGGCCTACAGCGCCTGGCCCCTTTAGCATCAGCTTGCAATGCTGCAGCCGAGAGACCTGTACTGGACCTTGGCAGGCAACATCAGGATGCCCATATTCACATGTGCATGCGCATGCTCGACTGCTCCGACTGCTGCCCGCGCTTGAAATTTGTGGCTTGAGGCGTCCCAGGGGCCTTCGACACGCAGGCCTCCTTCAACTTGTAGCAGCAGTAGCGCTGGTGCTCGTGCGACCACAGGGTCTTCCAGCTGGCATAGCCTGCTGGAATTGAGGCAAAACATGGCAAAACCCTCATCGCTTGCATGCGTTCCACAACATCCACAACCAAGGCTGCGATGCCGGCGCCTTCCGTGCAGTCGAACGGATGGTGCTTGACGTACACTTTCTGCCTTGCTGGTGGTGATGCAAAAGAATGAAAAAGCCAGAGCAACAGCGGAAAACCGGCTTTGTGTGCTATGTACTGGCATGAGTTGCAATCCTCCGCAAAGCATCGTCAAGCCGAGGGTCGTGATGACCTTAGCAGGTGGACCGGGAATCGGCACCGTCACCGTGTGGGGCACGTGCTCCGTCCTGGCACAGGGGCTTGAAAACGCATCCTTATACCCACATTTGCCGAGGAAGTTCGCTCCAGGCAACACCTGTGAGTGCCGGCTGCCTTGCACCTCTACGAATTTCCTCACTTCCCACAATCCCAAGAGCTGCTCCATCTGAGGATGCATGCCGTCCTCACGTTGGTATAGTACCTTACGTTTGTCATGGACTTGGACAGCAGAAAGAGCATCGCAACAGTGATAGGGACCTTCCTACATCGTCCTACATTCCTACGAGACAGCACAAGAGGATCCGTTGCCGAGGAGCTTGTCATGAATGATGACCGGTGCTTTCGTCGCCGTGCAGAAGGCCCCGTAGCCTTGCGCGCAGCAGGCCTCGCGCTGCATGGCCGGCATGGCGCCCACCGCCGTGGTCGCCGCGCAGGGGTCCTCCATGCTTCTCCCGTGCTTCCGTGTCTTCCCCCGAAATCGAGCCGGACTCGCGCTGGCCCGGTGATGCAATAGAGACTGGGGCCGACGCGATCACGTCAGCTCCCGGGCTGCTGTAGAAGGGCCTCGAGGAGCAGAGAACGCAGCAAAGCGTGTGCAAAGCAGGTGCGCGCTAAAGTGCGCGCAGCGCGCTCAAGCGCTCTAAAGCTTGCACTGAGCCTCTGCCCGGGCCCCCGACCAAAACAGGTAGATCAGGAGCCCAAGAATCACAAAGAGCAGGAAGCACAGGAAGAACGCGCACATTGCCCGGAACCTTGAGGCCCAGAAGTTGCAGCCGGAGCCTACAATGGCCTGCGATCTGCGTGCGACAGGTATTGAGGTGCTGGCCGCACACCTGAGCTGCGAGCAGTGCAACACGACCCACATCCTTCCAGCTAAGCCAAAGCACCGCCGCCCACAGTCACCTTCTCCTTCTCGAAGTCGCCGCGACTGGCAAATTGGCTACATGGGCTACAGTACCGGCCCTCCACCGGCACTGCTCGGAGTGCAGGGCTTTGGGTTTGCTACTTGAAAAAAGCAAAAAACGACACGAATCTTGCAGGGCGGCCCATGTCCGACGTAGTCCATGCTGGAAGCCTGAGTGTAAGTTCCCTGACCTGCGCGGGCAGCAGCTACTGAGCAGCTACTTTCAGAAGTTGTCCGGATTTCCAAGGCTCGCCAACGGTCAACAGCTGCAAACACGTCATGCGCCCTTGTTCAACGACGTACGTACGGGTTCGGGTGCACGCATACGCATGGCATGGCCCTGGCCTGCACCGACGTAGGTCTCAGCTGGCAAAGTCATCAGACCAAACCGCCCAAAACCAAAAACTCAAACTACGCAGTGGCCCCACGGCCCTTGTGACCACTTCTGGCAAGAAGCCCAGCGTTCTTCCGTCCTGGCGAGTTCGGGGTCGGCTTCGAAGCCTCGGGTCTGCAAGTTGACAGAGGTTGCAAGAGGCGCCAAAAAAAATGCTTGCGCATCGAAGACTCAGCCGAGAAGCACAGCGCTCCGCAGGTTCCACCTCGGCAAGAACAACGGCGTCACATCGCTGGCATCTGGAGTTTTGAGGTTTTTGGCCACATTGCATAGCGGCTGCTTGGGATTGGGGCACGAGCTGCCGACAAGACACCGCAGCCATCGTCGAATGCGGCACCACCCCCCACGCTTCCACCACCAGACACGTGACCTCCACCGCCAGACACGCCGTGACCTCCACCACCAAACGAGCCACCACCAGAGACGCCGTGCCCCGACCTTGGGCGCGAGGAATCACCGTTGAAGCACCACTGCAGGAAGCGCAAGCGGCAGCTGAACACTCCGTTGTGAAGCCGAGAGAAGCCCTCAGCCCTCAGCCCTCAGCCATCCCTCCAGCTGCATCCAAGGCGCTTCGGCATGAGTAGCGATGGAGTCTTCGGTCGCCCTTACGCCTCTAAGGCGCTAAAAGATCGTCGAGCCAAGACTCTGCGAGATGGCAAGATGATGCAAGATGGCCACTTCACTTCGCTGCGACAGGGCGTCGCCCAGCGGCAGGCAGCAGAGTTACCGCATGATGTCATCAGTGGCGAATCTCCGACTGGAGGCAAGTGCGGCAAGTGGACCGCGACTTTTCGCAGGCAGAGAGAGCAGGACCCAGTGCAAGTGCAGGCTCGTTGACTCGATGGTTCATCTCACTTGAGTTTCCCCTCCTGCGACTCTTTCAGAGAAAGGAGGGGGAGACTTGTGCACGGCGGTGTCTTTCACAACGCTCAAGTCTCGTACAGCTATCAGCGGGATTCGGACTGAGGACAAAGTGTCCTGCAGCATTCCAGCTTGCTTGAGGTTTTCAATGGTTTTCAGCTGCAGCTCTGAGCCGGATGGTGTCTGTCAGGATCCTCTTGTGCCCAGGCCAAATCGGGAAGGAAAAAAAAGGCGGAAGGCGGATTCCAGCACAACGTTGTGGACATGTGGACTAAGCTATGCATAATGGCATGGTCAACCATCTGAAACAGCATGACCGACAACACTGATCAACAACCGCCGGATCCGCCAAAAACCTGTACAAGCAGCAGCAGTTCGGCCACAGGCGAGCGCTGACCTATACCATTGAAAAGCTCAGCGTGTGCGCTGCGAACACGGCCAGAATTTGAAGCAACGCGTCGCTGTTCATTCATCGAAACCCCTCAAAAACTCGAAAGCGAGATTCAAGCCCCTTTGATGATCATCCACTACCCGATTCCCGCCTGTACCGGATGCCCATGGGCGGACTGCTTTCCAAGGGTTTAACAGTCTAAATTGAATCTACTGATATGTTCCTGGTTTAGAAAATGTGCATGTCAATTTAGTCCTTACATGGCCCCAGATGCTGCGAGATATGTGTGTATTGTGGCAACGGAGTGTACAAGCACTCGCAAACAGGCCTAGGCATGCAAACCCCAACCCACTCCAAAGCCATGTCAAGGATGCGAAGTCTCGGAGCCCTCTCGGCATCGCCCTAATGCTTGGGTTGCCTGTTGTGTTTGGAGGCTCTCGAGCAAAACTCTGCACAAGAAGGAAACGTCTGCACGTGTCTGCAGTCAGGGGAGCTTTGGGCAGCATAGCTTTGCACAGCAGAAACCTTTGTCAGATTTGCCTTTCCAGTTTGGCCATCTCAGGGAGAACGAATGAAGACTACGGCCTCCCGACAAGCGTTCGCATCAACTTTGTTTCAGAGCTGAGGCTGCCCAGGCTTGCCCAGCAGGCTTGCCCAGGCCAAAGCACAAGGGTGAAAGGTGGATTCCAGGTACGAGCTGCGATCTGCTGTGACCAACATGGCCAACTCAAAACGGCAGTGAGGCCCTGAAATGCGAAGATGATACTTCTGTTGATTGAAACATGTATTGAATCACTGACGCAGCGGCGCAGCAAGGCTGGATGCAGGAATGCGCTTGCAGCTTAGCCACAAGCCACGAGAAAAGCTCGCTCTTGACTCTTACATCAGACGAGCCCAAAGGCAAAGAGTGGCACCGCCGACCTGGACCGAAACATTGTGAGCCAAAAGGCATCCAGATGGGGGAGTCACGGGGAGCTGTGTGCACATCAGCACTGCTGAGTGTGCGAGCCTTTGCGGGAGCGCCAATTCTCAGCTCTTTCACGGACTTGCCTCGGCTGCTGTCGACAGCTTCAACTCAACAAACGCTACCTCTGAAAATTGGCACCCTCCCGGCGGGTGCTTGTTCCCCCCCCCACCCAGTATCCCCTCTGGCCTCCTCCGTGGAGATGCCTGCCAGGATCTCGCATTGCCAAGACAACGAGCCGCCTAAACCCTAAGTATCAAAGGCCAGCCGGCTTTTGTGGTAGCGTTCTGGTTTGTGAAAGGGCTACAGGCATCTTGGGATTCCCCGTCGTCGGACTTCTCCCCCCCCCCGAAAGTCCCAGCATCCCTGCTACGATGTGCATGGGTGTGTAAGGTTTAGGGTTGGATGATGGTTTAGTATTGGCAGCCGATCTTGAACACAAGGTTTAGTACAGCAACGACAATCAGACCAAACTGACATCATGCCCGTGACTATTCAGAGTCTCAACACGAAGATCTACAAAAGATCAGTTCTGGGCATATTTGATGGGCTCTTGGCATGATGGTTCTTGCATAGCATCAGCCAAAGTGCAGGGAAAGTGGGGTGAACGCTTTCGAAAACGGCGCCCGGTGAGAGGAGAGGAGGAAGGGGGGGGAGGGAGGAAGTACGAGTAGGCGCGCACTTTGGCGTATGCTCACTTTGCCAATACAGGCTGGCTACAACCCGGAACGCTCAACTTAGGCTGGGCGACTTCTAAGACTTCTAAGCTCAAGCTCATTGGAAAGGTCACGGGGAGTTTTCGTGATCAAGCCGATGGCTCCAACAGTGATGCTTATGATACGGCGGTGGTGCCTGAAGAGCCACCTTGTGAGGGCATAGCATGGGCATAGCATTCAGCATAGCGAATTTGAAAACCATGTTCCACGACTGGTTCATTGCGAGTGCTTGGAGTGGTGAGGCTGAGTCATCTTCCTGGAAAATCTAGGAGGAAGTGCGGGGTGAAGTCTTGCAAGCGGTCCGTGCAGCGATTTGTTTTCATCGGGTCACACCGCTCGAATCGAAAACGCAGAAACCTTAAAGTCCATGCACGAGCATGCACGTGCCAAGCCTGCTCAGCACTTGTCAAAGTGCATGCAGCAGAAGTGCTTCTTCTTGCCGGACCAGCCAGCCTCCAGGGCATCTGGATCCAGAGCACCAGGGGCACCGGAGCCACACGAGTGTGACTTGGTCAATTAAGTATGGGTCGGAGTCGCCACCCGCAGAAGCCAGTCCTACTGGTCCTACTTAGGGTCTGGACCGTGATGCCGGCAAAGCAGTCGAAGGCCAGGCCGCCATGCGTGTGGACCTGTGGGAAAAACTGCACCTTGCGCTCACTCTAGCCTCGGGCTTCCACTGGGTCATCTGGCCTGCACCCAGTGACCCGTGCCGCCGGAAGTCGCCTCGGATCAGGATCAGACTTGCGTGTCCGTGTTGCTCGTGGGAGTGGCAGATCCAGTTGCAAAGAATGTCTCATAACCTGCTCCAGGACACCCAGTGCCACATCATGCCAGAGCCAGCCGCGGACGGGGGATGGCCGTGGAAGGTGTAGGCGGCTCCGCCGAAGCTACCACCGCCACTGACGCCGCCGCCGAAGCTGCCGCCGCCACTGGCGCCGCCGCCGAAGCTGCCACCGCCACCGCCTGGCGCAGTAGCGTGGTGCGCATGCTTCAAGGGCCTTCGAGGCACGGGTAATTGCATTGCACTTGCCAGTACCTACCCAGTACCCGGCCTGAGACCACGTGCGTGGTGACCACCGTGTGCGTGTGGCCGCCACCGCCGCCTCCGTAATGGTAGCCGGGGCAGCCCAGCTGCTCGTGGCTGCAGCACCTCAACTCCTCCCCCCTCCCGCCCCTCCCCCCTCCCGCCCCAACCAACACGCCCGGAAAAGCGTCTGGAACAAGCAGACCCTGTGGGAGCCCCCCAATCCCTTGGAGGAGCTGCAAACCGATGCCGTGGAGGGTTCCGGTTGTCGGTGGCTCCTACGGGGGAACCCCCTCCCCCCACCCCCCCCCCCCCCCCCCCCCCCCCCCACCCCCCCCCACCCCCCCCACCCCCACCCCCCCCCCCCCACCCCCCCCACCCCCACCCCACCCCCCACCCCCCCCAACCCCCCCCTCACCCCCCCCCCGACCCCCCCCCACCCGCTCTGCCCTTCCTCCCTTTTTTTGCGAAACCCTCTTTCCTCCTTTCCTGTCCTGGGGCCGGCCCGGCTGCCGAGGCGGCGCGCGCAAGCGTTTACGATTAAGACCACCACAGTCAGCCACCGCACCCCCAACTCCCACCACATTCCACCATCCGCCCCGCCACGAAAACGCCCTCTATCGCGCATTCACATGTGAAGTACGAGTACAAGGCCGGCGCCAATTCTTCTTGCCCACGGACCAGCCCGTGGCCCAGTTGGGCAAGCCTCGGCTCAGCGCACCGACACTCAAAGAGCGCACGAAACACCGGCCGACATGGCCGAAACCCTCGTGGAGGATCCGCAGTCTTGCCCATGTCTGGCCCAGCAGCCAGCATGGCAGGCATAGGGCCTGCTCACGACCCCGCCGCCCGCGGACACGGCCTGCCGAGCATTTTGAGAGCGCAGTGTGGCGCTGAGCATGCGCAGCAGAGCGTCGACAAATAGCAAGGCCCACCTGCCACGTCCAGTGGTGCGAGATGAACACCTTCCTGGGGCACGGCACGGCATCACAGCTGGGAGTAGACTGGTCAGCGCCAGCAGTATTCAGCAAGCAGCATTCGCAATACCAGCCGTCATAGCAGAACAGCACAAACAACACTAGAACAGCCATTTGCCCTCCAGCGGCTTCCAGATCATGCCGGCACCGGCATCACAATTAGGTTTTGCGTCCGGGCTCTGGCAGCCTTGCAGTTCCCAACCCTAGCGTGCGCCGAGTGTGCTGCGACATGCTACGCTCCAGAGCGGCAACAGTGACTCATCACGACGCATCACGACTCGTCTGTTCAGCTCAGCAGCCCTTCTCCTCGTGCTGGCAGCACCACACCTTCTTCTCAGGCGACCAGGCTCGGCACCTCAGCAACCCACGCCCCTGTTAAGTCCGGGCTCCCCGAAGCTTCACCGGTTTGGACTGGAAAGAGTTAATATACACAGAGCCCGGCAAGACACTTTTGGACGGCACAGAAGAAATCAGCAAAGGTCTTAATCTTCGCTCCGCTTCGCTCCCTGAGGTCCGGTCCAGTTACCCAGAGCAGCATTGCCTAGGAGAAGCGAAGAATGGGTCGTCCAGATGTCTACGTCAGATATCTATGTATATGCAATGTTTATCATGGTCTGGCGATGCAAAAGGGCTGGAGAGTTGCATAGGCATGCTTCCAAGATGAGGCTCGAATTCTCCGAAAATCGACAGTGCCATATGACTCACAGCCCCCACAGGCCATGTAGGCCTGTGTTTTGGTGAATCATTGCTGAACTAAAGACGAACACCTACCAGGACAACTGATGAGCTTAAGCGATTGAAGCGGACAAATCACTCGCAACGCAGCGGCCGGGTTCCCGTTTGTATCCCCTTCGGAACAAAGGTCATTTTACCACGTGATGCTGATTTCCGAACAAGTATTGCGATTTGCAAACAGTTCTGTTGTCCGCTTGTCGAAAGCATCTTCAGTCCGACACACTGTCCGATTAATCACCTCAATGTGCTCAATCGGCCCTCGGAGGGCATCTTCAAGCTTCAGTTTTCGATCGGGCCGATCAAGCACCTGACCTGGTCCGTAAAAGCAAATACACACATTCGGCACATTCACCTGTGCTTTGGAAGCTGCTTTTACATGTCTTCTGTTTCACAGCCTGGACACCTTACCCTCCTCTATGGGCTCCGGATTTGATCTGGGATTTCTCGGGGATTTGAGTGCTTTTCCCCACATCACTATGCGGGGTTCTTTTCTTTCTTGGCCCCGACGCCCCCGCGAATCTCCTACGCCACGTGCGCATCACACATACATGCATGACATGCATTTAATGCCTCCTCAGGCCCTGTAGAGGAGCTGGCTGTTTCACTGCGCGTTTGACTGACCCTGTTGGAAAATGTCGCCGCATGTCGTTGTGGTCGATGTTTTGGCAGAAAACCTATGCCAAGATCATCAAGCCATCGGTGCCCAAGCGTTCACCAAAATCGGACGGCATCAGCCGAAGAAGGAAAATAAGGGACAGCTGGGGCACTCTCAGGCCCGATGCTGCGACCTGACACTCGTTCACGTTCATACTCCAAGAGACCCTCACCCAACCAACCATACTTCTTGGAAGACACAAATTGAGCAAGGCTCCTACATCAAAGGCCACGCCATGAGTAATGATCCTCTCAGCCGCATTCGTATTTGCATGACTCTCGGACTTTTCGTTCGCAACGCATTCAATGGTGTCATATGCTAAAAGGCCATATCTCAAGACATCCTCATCCGGGCCTTGTTGGTAATTTCATCGGAATAGATTGTTTGCCAACCCAAAAAAAACGCCCTGAGATATCCTCCTTTCGGCCTCGTCTGCACCTGGGTTCAACTTGAATTTTCTATGAAATTGCACCCGGACCTCGTTCGCCCACATATCCTTTCAGATTCGGGGTAAACGGGGCGAACCAGAGATGCCAAAGAGAATTTGGCCTGATGGCCGTTTTTTGAGTTTTACTCTGCTTCTTTCTGGATCGTGTTGGCAATTGCTATCCCAGGAAACCAAAAACACGCAGCTTTTTTTTGCTTTACCAAAAAGTCCCAAAAAAACATCACTTCGAGCACCCTGTCCTTCAAACGTCAACTCTACAAGATTGGGCGGCCTCTTGGGAGCCTTTCTGTAAGGAAACCTTGCGTGCGTGACGACACGGAGACCAATGGAGACCATCATCTAGACCCAACCCCGTATGATCAGGTCACGAGTTCCCGCACTCTTCGTATTGTAGCGCTTTCATCTGAAAATGGGGGAGCCTACGGCCTACGAGGCGACAGAACATTTCGGCCTGGTATGGCATCATTTCGGTACAGTTGCCCGCCTCTCCCTGGCCTGCTGTGGCGACATTTCGGTACAGTTGCCCGCCTCCAAGCCTCCCGGTCCTACCTTCTGGCCTTGTACTGTCCTGATGCACTCGCCGTCCTGCCTCACAACTGTCCTACCTGCTGTCCAGGTACTGTCCTGACTGCGTCGCGTCCCATGATGCGTGCCACTTTGTCCTTAAAAATCTATCTACCCCATTTGTCGGATGGGGGAAAACACGGTAGAAGCGAAAAGCACAGCAACCTTACAGCCGAAGTCTCTTTGGATGTTTTGTATGCTATATATAAAAATGTTTGGTTGTTCCGGTGCTTTGGGCTTTCTGAGATGTGACTTGCAGAATGCGATCACGTCAAATTTTCTTAATGCTACATGAATTTCGGGATGGCTTTTCAGTGCTGCTGGTTTTCTGATATAACACTTCGTCTGAAACTACTTATAGAGATCTTATAATAGTAATGGATATAGATGTGCTCGTCCATTTGCTCTCCCTGCCGTCGGGGTGCAGTCGTACGGGTCGGAGCCCGGGCCCTGCACGCCGCAGCCCGCCTCCTGGATGCTGCAGGCGCGGCAGACGTCGCACTGCACCTTCCCAAAATAGTGAAAAACAGGAGAAGACCCCGGAAAAATCATGGCATGAGCCACATGTGAACCTGCACGGCGCTGTAGGCCAGATTGCAGGCGTTGCCCTTGCCGGCGTAGGTGTGCTCCTGCCCATGTGGACCCACATGGACGTGAAGCTCCCAGAGCTCGCACAAACAAGACAGACAAAAGGACAGAACGTTGTCTCAGGTCTCCATCGTCCAGTCCATGCGCTCTTGGCATGTGCTCGTTTGGCCGTTCAGTGTGCAAGGGGCCTGAGCCGCACAACCAATAGCTGGCGTGCACCCGCCCTCATTCGCACATTCCCACAGCACAGAAGAACGGCCATTCCGGGCCCAGTGGCGTCGCACCCAAGAGGCGACAGCGTCGTGGCCGCACAGCCGATCTGGAAGTGGCCGCAGCAATAGTCGCCTGCAGCTGCATCATATCGCATCATGTTGCATCACCCTGCCCCCGGCATGTTTTTTCAGAATCGCAAGCACAGAGGGCCCGGCGCTTTTCCTGTGGCCACATGCTGCTCTGCTCCTGACGCATTTCGTGCCAGTTCCCTTGAATCACCTGCTGCAGCAGCGCATGGGTCCTGGAGGTGGTGGCAGTGATACGGCTGGCAGCCCTTGTTGAAGCGCTTGCAGCAGTAGATCTTCTTCTTGCCCGACCTGAGCTCATGCACTTCTTCGCGCCGTCTGCCGCAGCGACGGCCGCAGGGGAGACACGGAAACAGAAGAGTGCTTGCAAGGGATCCGGCCAGCCGTGCTCCCAATTGGAGAAGCCGGCATCGCAGTCGTATCCCCCATGGCCAGCGCCATGAACCACGTGCACCACCTAACGTCATTGGAAAAACCATCGTGGCACAGGCACATGCATGCACGTCGCGCTATGCCCACACACACACAAGGCCGAATTCTGTCCCTTGTCCCTGAAGTGCTCCCACGTCCTCTATTTTCCTCAAGAGACATGTTGGGGCCCTGGCAGTGTGAGACGTCCAGTGGCCGTGTGCCATACCGGGGCAGCCCAGGTTCTCGTGGTCCTGTCTTGCCGAGCACAGGCCAACAGCACTTCCGATTTCTGCTGGTGGCCAGCTAGTGTCGTGTGTCGATGTCAAGCCCTGAGTTGTGGGGCTGCAGCGGACGCTCCACGCCAAGCGAGCCGGAGCCACGCAGCACCAAGATTTCTTGACATGGGACCAGCCGTGGTACCAGTTGGAAAGGCCGGCGTGGCAGTTCTCAGCATCGCGGCAAGAGCTTTGCACTAGGAAAATCAGCCAGCAATGATCACTGCAACCCAATGGGTATCTCCCCAACGTCGGCAGAGCAGCATAGTGCTTAGAATGGTGGTGATGCACGATCACGACGTGCTGGTGGTGGTGCCAGGATCCTGCAGACAGGAGAGAGACTGGAAAGAGCCGCGCTCGCGCAGTGCCACTCTTGAAGAGACGGTCCTGCGCAGCCCATGTCCTGGTGACTGCAGCACCACTGCTTCCTGCAAGCGTGCTTCCGCACGCGAAGTCGATTTGCTGCCCCCAAAGCACGTCCGGCATGTGCGGCTTGAACTGTCTTACAGTGCGATCGAGCAACTTCGCGCTTGACCAGGTGTAGTACCACTGGTCGAAGTGGGAATTGCAGTCCTGAGGTACGACCCACTACCAACCGCACCTTTGCGCTCTGTCGTTGCTCTTCGTCAAAACTCGCGACAAGTTGCGTAGTCATGCACCGTGACGGTGTGGACAACGTACTTGGGGACGATGTGGGGAGGCGACGGCACCGGAACGTGCACGTAGTGGCCTGCTGGCTCCGAACGCAAGGTATGCTTCAATCCCCGAGTTCATCCCCTCCGGCGCTACCCAGTGCCAAGCCAAGCTGAGCTTTAATGGAATCACGACCAAATACGACCAAAATCAGGCCGGCAAGAGCCCAAACAAGCAAAAGAAACTGAACGCCATGTTTCTCGGTTACACGACGAACAGCGATCTGAGACCACAAATGGACGAACGATGCGTCTGCAAACCTGCCGAAAAATTCATTTTTGCCCCAACCTGCAACTCAGCAATGCTCTGGGGTCGCCACTTCTGCCACGGATCTTCACGGTATAGGGCTTCTTAACAGTGATGACCTTTCCGTGGCAGCTCTAGTTCTGAGCAATCCTGCTCCAGTGCCTCAATCCGAACCGGCTTGCAGTGTGCCGCTTGCACTAGAGAGAGAAGGAGAAGGAGAAAGAGACTGTCCTTCTCTCCCCTGACGGATCTTGCAAACACTGGCAAAGGCATACTTCTCGCTACTCTCCACGCGCGCGATTCCTGTTCTATGGCCTTCTTTGCCAGATCGAGAGGCGGCACTGTGTCAAAAGAACTGTTTTGAGGGCTTGTGTGACTGCGCTGTTGGCTCTCTCCTTTTTCTTATCTTTTTCGGGCCGGGGGGGGGGGGGGGGGGGGGGCGTAAGCCAACGATGTGCTGAGACGTTGGAGGGGGAAAACTGCTGCTGCGCGAGAAAACATGCAGCATCAACCAGCACAAGTACCTTTGCGTGAGCCCTCAAGTCCTAAAGACTTGAAAATGCCACGTCACAAATCACACGCAGAGGTCATTGGGTGTCCCATGTTTCTCCGTGTGCCTCCAATGCGATCCCATCACAAAATTTAGGTTTGAACGAGAAGTAGGTCCTGTACTTGCTCCTGGCCTGTCTAGCGTCACATCGCAAACATTCGCAAACTTGCTGTACTGAGAGGCTCTGAAGAGAGGCTGAGGCTTCGTTCGAGTCGTGCTCGCGCTGAAATATTGCGTGGCGCTGTGAGGCAGGCACATTCTGCATGTTTGTTTGCCCTTTTTGCCAGAGAATATGAAGAATAAGCCGTAAGTTGACTAGTAGCCTTGAGAATGAATAACGTTAGAGAGCGAATGTAAGAAATAGTGAGAAATAACTAAGAATGCGACAGCTTGGACTCAGTGTCAGTCCAGGCATCGCATTCTGGAATGGCTTGGCTTTGCGTTAGCCTTGTGTTAGTTGATGGCCAATCCCCACTGCGCCTTGGCGGGCTGTCTCACAGGGTATGGCACGTCCTGGTTGATCGTGACCTTGCGACCGGGAGAGCCACTGCAGCATTTCGTTTCCGGTTTGCCGCCTTCGCGGCTGCCCTGGGCCCGGAGCGGGCTTGACGATGGTGGGCCCTGGCACCGGCACGTGCACGTACTTCGGCGGGCTCGGGACGTGGTAGACTTGGTTGATGTTGTGGACGATCTGAGCTTCAAAGTTCATGCCAAAAGCTGCTTCAACCACGACATTAAGCACTAAGTGCAGTCTACGGAAGTCCCTTAGTAATCTTAGTAGGTCAGTCTCAGGAAAGCGGCCGGAGGCGGACGGGGCTCCTGGACCGGCACTGGCACTTGCATCTTCCTCAGACTTCACAGATGCAAACGCAGTCCTTGCAAGGTCGCTCACATCCATCCCCCCTTCCTCCTCCCCTCCTCCCCTCCTCCCCTCCTCCCTCCCTCCTCCCCTCTCCCCCCCCCCCCCCCCCCTCTCCCCTCCCCCTCTCCCCCCTCCCCCCTCCCCCTCCTCCCCTCCCCTCCCTCCCTCCTCCCCCTCCCCCCTCCTCCCCCCCTCCCCTCCTCCCCCTCCTCCCCTCCTCCCCTCCTCCCCTCCTCCCCTCCTCCCCTCCTCCCTCCTCCCCTCCCCCTCCCCCCCTCCTCCCCTCCTCCCCTCCTCCCCCCTCCCCTCCCCCCTCCCCCCTCCCAGGTTTAGCTTAGGCTAATGCGTACGATTTGAGTTTAAGGTCTGTCAATTCAAACAGCCTTCAACAAATCATTTCCGCGAGCGGCTAGGGCAGGGCGACTGGCCTGCTGATGTGATGCGCATAGAGAATCTGAAGGAACGCTCAAAGAGCGCTCACACAAGTCCCGCCCGGCTCCAAGGATGATGAGCATTTGCTAGTTTTATGGCGGTCAGATCCTCACGCAAGGCTCCTATGAAGGCTCGATGAAGGATCATGAGAGCCACCCCAGGGCCTTTTTTGGCGCGGCCGTATGGCGCCCCCACACAATCCAGAGATCTTAACCGTGAGCCGTTTCTGGCTAGATGCAAGCACGTTGGCAGCCTCGATGGTTGCTTCCAATGAGCCCGATTTCGCGCCTAACCTGTGAAGTTATGGCTGGTTGCTGGGTCCTTTAGGAACTGGGAAGGTCGTTGCTGGCAATGCCAAGCAAAATTATGCACGCTTCTCGGGCCAGCGTCGACAACCGGCAAGTGCTGCAACAGTTGCTTGCGTTCCAGACGCTGTGGGGGTGATCTAGGAATGTCCCGGATAAACTGGAGTTACTTGCGTATCTGTGTATAGTGTGGTTGCATGTGGTGGTTGTATGGCAAGTGCTCGGACTCGCGAGTTGATTGCATGTTGTGCTCTGTGAGTGGAAGGCCTCGATGCAATGAAGCGGGAGTGTTGAAGTGTTTGCGCAGCTTGGCCAGTCCTGTCGCGTCCTTTGCTTGCGAGGAGCTGTCGCAAATCATCACCAGGCAATTGGCCTCTATGGCTGCGCTGAGTCACCGTCATATTACCTGGCTTTTGACTGTGGCGGATCTGAGTTGCTATGCTCCGCCAGTTCATCCAGTGTTGTCAGTGGCTTTATGGTTCTTTCAGCTGTGCTTGCTGCCTGTGAAGAATGCTGTGTCGTCTGCATATATTAATATGAAGTCGCAAAGATGCACTGGGGGTTGAACAGCCATGGGGGGGAGCCTCCGTTCTCGTGTAGCTTCTGGTCCAGGTCATGCGTGCGTCACCATGCTACGCACTATGAGGAATACCGATACGTACGGTGAGAGTGAAACTCGTCGAATGCTGGCGTTTGCCGTCTCCTGTGTGTGCTTGCGCCGCTTGCTACGTTGTAGATGCTGTCTATTAGCCGCATGAATTGGTCGGGAAGAACGTGTCTACGCAATGCTGTAAGGAGCACATCTGGACGGAGTTTGTCGAACACTTGCCTCCTGTCAAGAGGCACCGTGTACAGTGTGCTCCCCATTGTTCCGCGCATGTTGTCATGAGCCAGCGTGCAATGTGGATTGGTTGTGTGAAACGGTTGGTGAGTAAGCTGTCTGGACGGCAAATGGATTGGTCTGCGAGGGGGCCTTTGTCTTCGCAGATTTCGGCAATGGCCTTTGCCCAGGCCTGTGAGATCCGGTCGCGTGGAAGTTTTTTGCTGGCCAGTGAGTGGATGGCGTCTGCCAGCTCTTGCTGTGTGACTGGACCGAATTCGACACCTTGTCGTGGAGCATTGACACCACGGAGCTTGTGTGTAGTCCTGGCGAGGCGATCGCCGTATGTCACGGTATGTGAAAGGTTTGTGGCAAGTGCGTCTGCTTGCTTTGTTTGGCTGGTCGAGTTGCCTTTTTATGGAGATGGGGCGGGTCAGTCAGTCTGAGCCATGCGGTGCAGCTTGTCGCTTGGCGTGAAGTGATCGGCCATTGCACTACAAGTGCCTGGGGCAGTAGGCTTGAACCGCTCGTGAGCTTCCAGCGCCTAGGGCCTTAAAATGCCTAAAGCACTGCAGGCAAGATTCTCGATCTTGGTCACGTGGTGGTAGATGTTGCGGTCCACCACTTGATGCGGGCAGGACTCACAGGGCGGCACATGCTGCCAAGGTGTGTCTGTGTGAATGCACAAAGCACAGGGCATCAATACAGGTGCTGTCTTGAACGAGTCTGGAGTCCTCCCGGTACTTGTAGCAGCACCACCTCTTGTGCCGGCCGGACCAGGTCTGGGTGGCGAAGTCGCCGCCGTCAGCGCAGTCGAAGTGCGCGTTCGGCTTCTTGGTGACGGGAGGGGGACAACACGCCCCCACAGGAGGATCTACTTGACTGCACATCTCACGGCACCAGATGCATCGGGCGTTGGGCTCGACAAGGTCTGAGCTCACTGCAACCACGTGGACGGTGTGGATAATGGGTGCAGGCCGCGGCATCTGCACCTTGACCTGGCAAATCTGAGATGGCCGAAGCCCGCGCATGACAACGGTGCGCAGCAACACACGGCTGTTCGAGGGACTGATTTGTCCTTGCTTGCTTGCTGCATGCTCTTTTGGCAGGCTTGAGAGAACTCTTTCGCAGCCAGGAGGCGTAGTGATTCACAGGCACCTTCCTCACAGGGCAGATTCACACTCGACTGGACTGCATAGTACAGTATGCACAGTGTGGCTACAAGGCCATGGGGCATGTCACATGCGACAGTAATTCCACGCATTTAAATTCTTCAACTCTGTAGACACCTTCTCATCAACTTCTCTTGATTCTATTCGCTGTCACCCGGGAGGCTGTTAAAAGAAGCACTCTCCATATTATTCGTTGCATCGAAAAGCTAGCCTAGCCCGAAAGCCACACACCAAAACCACACACTACACGGAATGTCAAGCCATCTCTAGACCCCAGTCCTGACCACCGTGTTGTAGTGGCGCCGGACCACCTCGTGGTATTTCGGGGCCTTTGCCAGGTGAGTTCGCTACCGCCAAAAAGTGGAACGCAAGGCTTGAACGGCACAGCTACATTACGACACTTTGAGAACCAGGGGCCTCGGTAGTAGTGACCGGATCGTAGCAAGGTATTTGTGGGCATACCCCGCAGCACTGGCTTCTGGCTTGCGCCTGGAGCTGTGCGAAGGGTGCATCGGCATTTTGCGGGGGCAAGGAAATACTTGCAGACAGCGCGTCGCGGCGCAGCTGCCTCCGCTAAGGTCGCAACAGTCACAACGTCCCTCAAGAATGGGCCGCCCAGGCATTGTTCTCGGCTTCGGCACTTGCATGCGCTTGCACTCGCCATGAAGAAGGGTGGACACAAGAGGACCCCTGGAAGCCTTCCTCTGCAAGCAATGAGGGACCAGGATGGTAACTCAGGGAGGCGGGAACAAAGCTGTGCGCTATGAGGTTATTGAGCCCTAGGCGCCCCTAGGAGCACAAACCTTGATATTAGAACAGGGCAAGAAGTCCCATACTGCGTGTCGCATACTTCTGGTGGCTGTGATGCGAGTCCCGACATCCATTCACGTCTTCTGCACGTCAAGGCCGGTGCTCCATGTGTGCTACCAAGACTCCGCAGGGATCATCCGCTTGAATGGAGCAGGTCTCCCCAGTGAAAATTGCGCGGACCTCCAGCGACTCCCGCGCGCTGGTGCTCGCTGTGCGCAGATCCATGGCGCATCCATTCTTGCAAACCTGTATGGGACCCCGACCGAGCAGACCCAGGCAAGCGGGAAGAGTAGCACCAGCAGGCCTGTGTGGGGCGTAGAAGCTGGCCCCTATGCCCATCAATGCCACGCCTGTTTGGCCCTGTTTGGCCCCGAAGCTGAGCCACCGGCACCAGAACACGCAGCAGCAAACGCAGGCCGGCCGGCACCTGCTGTTGTTTTTTCGATGGCTGCGCTTCGGTCGCAGTATTCTTTTGGTGGTTGGCCTGTAGCCGTAGGTGGAGCTCGCCTCCTTCGTGTAGCTTCCCTGGCCTCTGCGCACGCATATGCTGGCACGACAGCCTTGCTGGTGAATGCGGTGCCTGCGCCAACTTCAACAAGCTTCGTCTCGATATCGCCCCTTCCTGACACGATGAGCGGAGTCTGCTCCCTCTCACCACCGTCTCTGGCACAAGAAGAGAGCTCAAGCTCGAGAGAGCAGCTCGAGCCCGAGCCTGCGCCCACGTACTTGATGCCCTCTTGGTGGCCGTCAGCGTAGCGCTCGTAGAACATGTCTCGGCAGTCCAAAGGCCGCGCGCTTCAAACGGCGAACTCTGGTGTGAAGACATGGGAGGCAACAAAACAAGCAAAATCGCGGAACCCGGAACCACGGAACCACGAAACCATCCGAGGGCGACACTGAAGAAGAAGCCGCCTCCACCACCTGGCGCTTCAGCGCACCATGTCTATTCCCAAGCTTCCCAAGCTCTCTCGTGGAACTGCAGGGCACTTGGGGGCAGAGACAAGTAACCGAACCCTGTTAGGGACGCCTCCTCCGGCGGCACCTCCGCCACTCGAGCTCACCACGAGGCCCATGGCTCGCCAAATCTCGCCGAAGTAGGATCACAATTTACGGGGCTCTACAGTTGCAGGGCCTCAGCTGAAGCGAACTTTCCAACACTGAACGGAGAAGAGTCTCGGCCTTCTGGCCTCGCCGGACGAAAACACAAATGAAAAAGAAACAAGGTCAAGCCAGGAACCCAAAAACAATCCGAATGACAACAGTGCCGGAGTGAAACCCCCACTTTAACATCCAATCCGTATGCACATTTTATAGAAGAGTATAAGAAGGCAATAAGGCGACGCAGGGTTGACTAATTGAGGCGAAAAACCTCATGTTACGGCGTGTCTGTCGGAAGTGTATCGACTGAGACTGCGTGTTGGCTTTGGTTGTACCCGGTCCAGAACTCATCATTTTGGATGGGTGGAGTTTTTTTTGGGTCTTTTTTTTTGGGGGGGCATTTTTTTTTTTGGTCGATTTTCTTGGTTTTCTCTAGGAAAAACCTACTTTCCTTACATTTTGGACGGATTTTCTGTCATTTCCCTTAGGTTTTCGTTGGTTTTTCATAGGGAAAAACCTATTTTTTTACATTTTGGACGGATTTCCTGTAATTTCCCTTAGGTTTTCCTTGGTTTTTCCTAGGGGAAAACCCTATTTTGCTTTCATTTTGGACAGATATCCTGGGGGGGGGGTTGGGGGGGGCGTAGCCCTCCCACTTGCAAACACCTCTTCGGCTTTGAAGCACGCTCTGCACGGCTTCAAAAAAAACAGAGCGGGGAGGTTGGGGGGGGGCGCAGCCCCCCCCTCCCATTAGCAAACACAATGCTCACACGATGTTTTTTCAACTAGTTTTTTGGGCTTTGAAGCACGCTTGGTACGACTTAAAAGAAGGGGGGGGGGTTGGGGGAAAACCCCCCCATTTGCAAACACCCTGCTCACATGACGGGTGTCAACAAGTTTCTTGGGCTTTGAAGCACGCTTTGCACGGCTTGAAAAAAACGAGGTTTTCGTTCGTTTTTCCTAAGGAAACCCTCTTCTGATTACATTTTGGACGGATTTCGTCAAACGTCAAAGCGTACGTTGCTTTTCCTTAGTTTGTCCTAGGGAAAACCCTATTTGGTTCGTTTTCTTGGTTTCTATCATTCCCTCTATATTTTCATCGGATTCATACTTTTTTGTTCAACTAGTTTCTCGGCTTTGAAGCACGCTTGGTACGGCTTAAAAGAAGCGGGGGGGCGCAGCCCCCCCCCCCCATTTGCAAACACCCTGCTCACATGATGGGTGTCAACAAGTTTCTGGGCTTCGAAGCACGCTCTGCACGGCTTAAAAAAGCGGGGGGGCTGGGGCTTTGAAGCACGCTTGGTACAGCTTAAAAGAAGCGGGGGGGTTGGGGGGGGCGCAGCCCCCCCCCATTTGCAATGCTCACACGATGTTTTTCAACTAGTTTCTTGGGCTGCCCTTGGGCTTTGAAGCACGCTTGGTACGGCTTAAAAGAAGCGGAGGGGGTTGGGGGGGGGCGCAGCCCCCCCCCCATTTGCAAACACCCTGCTCACATGATGGGTGTCAACAAGTTTCTTGGGCTTTGAAGCGCGCTCTGCACGGCTTAAAAAAAAAGAAAAAGCGGGGGGGTTGGGGGGGGCGCAGCCCCCCCCATTTGCAAACACAATGCTCACACGATGCTTTTCAACTTGTTTCTTGGGCTTTGAAGCACGCTTGGTACAGCTTGAAAGAAGCGGGGTTCTGCAAACACCCTGCTCACATGATGCGTTTCAACCAGTTTCTTGGGCATCGGCTGAAAAAAAGCGGGGGGTTGGGGGGGGCGCAGCCCCCCCCATTTGCAAACACAATGCTCACACGATGTTTTTCAACTAGTTTCTTGGGCTTTGAAGCACGCTTGGTACGGCTTAAAAGAAGCGGGGGGGGTTGGGCGCAGCCCCCCCCCATTTGCAAACACAATGCTCACATGATGGGTGTCAACAAGTTTCTTGGGCTTTGAAGCACGCTCTGCACGGCTTAAAAAAAGCGGGGGGGTTGGGGGGGGCGCAGCCCCCCCCATTTGCAAACACAATGCTCACACGATGTTTTTCAACTAGTTTCTTGGGCTTTGAAGCACGCTTGGTACGGCTTAAAAAAAGCGGGGGGGGGGTTGGGGGGGGCGCAGCCCCAGCCCCATTTGCAACACCCTGCTCACATGATGGGTGTCAACAAGTTTCTTGGGCTTTGAGCACGCACGCTCTGCACGGCTTAAAAAAAGCGGGGGGGTTGGGGGGGGCGCAGCCCCCCCCATTTGCAAACACAATGCTCACACGATGTTTTTCAACTAGTTTCTTGGGCTTCGAAGCACGCTTCCTTTCTTCCTTCCTTGCTTCCTTCCTTTCTTCCTTCCTTTCTTCCTTCCTTGTTTCCTTCCTTTCTTCCTTCCCTCCTTTCTTCCTTCCTTCCTTCCTTGTTTTCTTCCTTTCTTTCATCCTTCCTTCCTTCCTTTATTTCCTTCTTTCCTTCTAAAACGTACCAGAAATAACGCTTTCCTATGAAACCACAGAGAAATTACTGTTTTTCGTACGAAAAACCACGAAAATGCATCAAATCCTTTAGAAATATGGAGGGAATGGTGGTTTTCTTAGGAAAAACCAAGAAAATCGACCAAAAAAAAAAATGCCCCCCCAAAAAAAAAAGACCCCAAAAAATAGGCCCTCCATTTTGGATCCCAGATCCTTAAAATAAAGGATATCAGAAACATGGACAATATATGAATTCGCAAGTAAATAAATACAGAAATAATAAATAAATAAATAAATAAATAAATAAATAAATAATTAAATAAATAAATAAATAAATAAATAAAGAAATAAATAAATAAATAAACAAATAAATAAATAAATGAATAAAGCAGTCCGCTCTCGCGCCCCTCTGGCTCTGTCCTCCCAGTACTACATTTGTACTACAATTCAACGAATATCCCTCAGCTTCCTGCGCCTCCCAACACTACATTGGCACTACAATTCTTCAACGAAAATCCGTCAGCTTCCCCGCGCGCCGCCGTACGCGCCGTCGTACGCGCCGCAGTCCGCTCTCACGCCCCTCCGGCTCTGTCCTCCCAGTACTACATGTGCACTACAATTCAACGAATATCCGATATCCCTCAGCTCCCCGCGCCGCCGTACGCGCCGTCGTACGCGCCGCAGTCCGCTCTCGCGCCCCTCCGGCTTTGTCCTCCCAGTACTACATTTAATGCATGTACTACAATTCAACGAAAATCTTCCCGCGCCGCCACAATCCGCTTTCGCGCCCCTCCGGCTCTGTGCTGCCAGTACTACATTTGTACTACAATTCAACGAATATCTCTCAGCTTCCCGCGCCGCCGTACGCGCCGCAGTCCGCTCTCGCGCCCCTCCGGCTCTGTCCTCCCAGTACTACATTTGTACTACAATTCAACGAATATCCCTCAGCTTCCCGCGCCGCCGTACGCGCCGTCGCACGCGCCGCAGTCCGTCCTCCCAGATCTACATTTGTACTACAAGTCAATTCAACGAAAATCCGTCAGCTTCCCGCGCCGCCGTACACGCAGTCGTACACGCCGCAGTCCGCTCTCGCGCTCCTCCGGCTCTGTCCTCCCAGTACTACATTTGTACTATACTTCAACGTTCGAAATACGCGCCGTCATACGTGCCGCAGTCCGCTCTCGCGCCCCCCGGCTCTGTCCTCCGAGTACTATACATTTGTACTACAAGTCAACGAAAATCCTTCAGCTTCCCGTGCTGCCGTACGCGCCGTCATACGCGCCGTCATACGCACCGTCATACGCGCCGCAGTCCGCTCTCGCGCCCCTCCGGCTCTGACTACATTTGTACTACAATTCAACGAAAATCCCTCAGCTTTCCGCAGTACGCGCCGCAGTCCGCAATACATTCAACGAAACTCATGGGATTATCCCTCCCGGTTGCGTTTTCATATCGTTTTCATCCCCGCTTCGCTTTCATCCCCGTTTCGTTTTCATCCCCGCAGGCGCAACCCGGTTTCGTTTTCACTCCGTTCGTTGTGATCCCTGCCATGCCCGTTTCATCTTCATCCACGTTTCGTTTCAACCCCGTTAGGTTTTCGTCCAGCCGTCGTGATCCCCGCGCCATCCCCGTTTCGTTTTCACCCGTTTCGTTCCCATCCGGCCCTTGAAATCCCCACGCCATCCCCTTTCGTTTTCACCCCGCGGCTCTGATCACCAGTTTCGTTCTTATCCCCGCTTCGTTTTCATCCCCGTTTCGCTTTCACCCCGCGCCGCCATTCACCGGTATCGCTCTCTCGCGTTTTGAACCTAAACGAGAACCCAACATTCTAGATGTTTTTGGGAAAAAGCGTACTACTGTAACAATACAACCTTAATACAACTTAATACAACCTGATGCTGCGCGCATGTGGCGCACGACTTTTTTCGCACGAACGAGCAGCGCAGTGTTGCACAGGCAAGCTTTGCCGCGCGTGCCGTTCGCCGGAGAACGCATGTACAGGAGACCTCGGCCACTGAGAGAGGGAAAGAGAGAGAGAGAGAGAGAGAGAGCGGGGGGGGAGGGAGGGAGGGAGGGAGAGAGGGAGGGAGGGAGAGAGGGAGAGAGAGAGATAGAGAGAGAGAGAGAGAGAAAAAAAAAAAACAAGAACACAAACAGACAACGTGCAGAAATCTCTGTGGCCCGAAGAGTCTGACGATTGCTGAACAGCTGAGCAGATGTCCCGTCAGCAAGTAACATTTTACCAAGAGACGGGGTAGTTGGATCCTACACCCAAGATGCTGCCAATGTCGTTTTTCAGCCAATTGCTGCGAAGGCTCACAGTCTTTCGTCGGGTGTTGCTGCATGCATGGATGGGGGTGGGTGGGCTGGTGGAGGGTGGCATCCAAACTGCACAATGGCAAGGCACTGTTGCAAAGTTGCAAATACCCAACTAAGAACAAAGCACGAGAAGATGTCAAACCCTCTAAACCTTTAACGGGGTCTTATCAGGTCTAGAACTTGTTTAGGGCCTTTACGGGCCTTCGGAGCTCTGG